GCTACTCTTTGTACCAGCTGAGCCGTGGGAATGGGTTCTTGGTAAACAAGATAGTATTGCTGAGCTAGTTTTCGAGCTCTGTGCACAAGCACTCTAAGGGGCAAAAAAGTAGATTTAATTAAGATGCTTTATTACCTAAAGACTTATTCTTCAACAGGCATATACCTACAGCATTAAGTTTAACATACATTTCTTTAATAGTAGCTATCAGCTCGAATATCATGTATGTTCAGCAATAGGAGACAGATAAGAACAAGGCAAGGAGGAAATTAGGGATGAGGGTACGAATCAGCTTAAGTAACCAATTTAATAAATATTCAGAATGAGAGCTGGATCTCCCTCCATGGCTACTTCATGACTGCTCTCCTTATCCTTTTCATCAGCCAACATGTATATGTGCACACATGAACACATGTACAAATGATTCCAGGCATATTTTTCTCGCTCTGACTCAATCTTTTTGAAGACCTCCTGAATCTCTCTCTGCCTGTACTTCAAAGAATACCCTTCAGATATTAAGAATAAACAAGTACTTAACTTTAAAATTATAAAATGTGTCAAAAAATGTCAAGTGTTTACTATACAAGGAGAAAGATTTCTCCTTACCTGTTCATGTACTACTGATGTGAAATCTGCACATTATCCTTCTGTGTAGTACTCACGTCCCACCCCCTCAGTGTATTCTATCAGTGACAGAACACTGCAGTATCCCTTTAGGATGGTGATAACAGAATCCATTGGCCTGAAACCTGATCACTTCCAGTGACCTTGTCGCTTTTTCTGACTCAAGTGAAATTCTGGCTTTACCTATCTTGCTGCATAAAATCATGAGTAATTATATACTCATGATAATACTACCTTTATCTGTTAAATGAAAAACATAGAAAGTGTCTATCTTTTTCAACTTGCCCCCATCCTGATTTGACAGAACTGTTTTTTTTCCCCTATGAAATACAACAGGAGTGAGTATGAGCATCTGGATCCTGGCTGGCTGCCACACTAGGCCACCTTCAGCGGCCTCTGAGAATTCTCTTCCTTTGCAAAGAACAGAAACAAAGATAATGAAGTTAACTGTGGGTGGTAATACTTTCTTTTGTTGCCTGATACTTTAAAAAATATAGTTTATTACAACATTATTGCTTTTCGTATTTTTAAAGGGCATTAGAGAACACTAAAGTCCTTGATGGCCAGTGATCAGAGGTCCACTTAATGAGGCTGCTTTGCTAAACAAGGCACAAAAAACAGAGTTGGAAGATTAAAGGAAAACATTCCTTGATTTTTCTCCTGAAAGTGCAGACTATGGTCAATTCACGGAATGGTGAGAAAACTGTAAAAAGTATAAAGGTACCTGTAATCTGGGCCCATGCCGCTGTACACCAAACCTATGTGCTTGGTAATTGGTTCCACTTTGTGTACACTTCGTTCATCATACAGAATGGATTTCTGTTTCTTCTCAGTTGCTAATACCACACCATTTGCAGCTTAAAAAGAAAAAGACCTAAATGTTTAATCATTTGAAGAATGTTTTAATAGCTTTCAAATTATGGATGCATTAAACCCAAATGCCTTTGTTATTTACTCTAATTCATAAAACATTTTCTTTTGGATTCCTATATCAAAATTACCTAAGGAATGCTAAATCAGTTTCTCCCTCACTGGTCATTTATACTCCACTAAAAAAAAACTCCTACAGCTAAAAATTATTACACAAATTCCCATAAATTACTCTAGGATACTTAGGGTTTATATGTTTTAAAATAAATTTCTGCCTACTTGGCCTACTATTCTTATAATAGGAAACTTACAATAAATGATACATAGATTCTTTTAAAGGGCACTAGGGGATGAAACAATTATAATATCTTTAGATTATATTTTATAATTAGCTTTTTCCAAATTATAGGAAAATTAAGATGCCAGAGAGCAGTGATATAATTAACAACAACAAAAAAAGTATGCTCACTTTTCTGAGTAAGTAAGACTATTTGGAGGTTATCACAACTAATAGATAAAGGTGCTATATATACTTTAAATATTTTTCTTTAAATTTCAACACACAAATTAACAAAAAGGAATTGTTAAAAATTATCTTGCCACAGGTCTTGGGATTACTAATTAATTCCAAAAAAATTAGCTTAACTATTAGCAGGTATCTGAAATGAATGAAGTGTTTAATTACCTTTAATTCCCACTGAAGGGGCTCCTCCAGCTACAGCAGCCAATGCATATTCAATCTGAACAAGTTTACCAGATGGGCTTTAAAAAAAAACACAGGTATTTGCTAAGTTCACATTATCATCAAATATTTCTTATGGAAACATCTCTAAGTGAGGGCTGATACATAGGTCAAACCCATTAATCAAACCCCAAGAAGTAGCTGGCCTTTGAAATCTATCATGAAGTTGTACAGAAACCAAGCTTACAGGGCAATTTAAACATATTCAGCAGAGAACTAATTCCTCTTTTCCTTTGGTTGTTTTTTGGTTGCCACTTAGAGCAGCAGCATTACTGTTGCCTCTTCACTGTTTACCAATCTTGTGATTTTAGGCAAGTCACTTAATCGTTCTCATCTGTAAAATGGGGATAACAGAACTATAGTGATCCAGTTGAGATCCTCCATATCTGCCAGTTCTTGGGGCAAGTAACTAAGGAACTTGAGTACCTGTGGATTTTGTTATCTGTGGGGTCCTGGAATTAACCTCCTATGATACTGAGGGACAGCTGTACCTATTTCAAAGTATTGCTGAGAAGACTAAATGTTTCTGGCACAAAATTAGCAATAAGCAAACACTGAACAGTACTGTTATTAAATCTATGTATGCACCTCTATTAAAAACCAAACAGCACCATATATTTCAAGTGGAGAGCTTTTAAAAAGTAGCCATGTAAGACCTAGATATCATTCAAAACAAAGTATCTCTCTATATATACATATTTTAAAAAGTATGTCTATATAATGTAAGACTATGTCTGGGAGCCATTATTAACTTTCAGATCTGGTTCCACTGAGTTTGGTAGCCAAGAAGTAGTCCCAAACTGGACTTTTAGGTTATACTTTATTTCAACCTAGTAGATGAGTTACAATCATTATAACATCACAGTCCAACATTCTTATTTATAAAGAAAAAGTCCTGAGTGAAAGCTGTCTGTCCAAAGTGACACAGCTAGGTCCCGAACTCCTGCCTACCACTGAAAAGATAATCTTAAATTTCAGAAGTCCACCCATTTTCTCTTCATAGCATTATGAATATTCTTCCCCTTGTCACTCAAATTTCAACTTGCACTATCCCACCTTGCTTCAGACATGCAGATTACTTACTCTTAAGACTTCAAAAACCTCTTTGACAAGTGAATCCCTATGCACTTCTCTACTGCCCAGAACTCCTTCCTAGCCATCCCTCAATCTTTAAGAGAAAGTCATACCCTCATGGAAGCTGCACGACAGGTCAGTCTAGGTTGAATCCCCACAGTCAGGCCTATGGTGCTCTCCTCTCTACTTCCTCTTTGGCTAAGATATATCATATTTTAATTATTTTTAGAATGTTTGACATCCTCAAAGAAGTATAAGCTCTGTTCAGTTAGGATTTTAGCACATAACCTAGTACTGGGAATCCACAGTCATCTGGCTGATAGAGACACACCTAGACCAATTTAAGGAATAAACCTAAAGGTGACAGATTAAAGATCTCTGACATAATAGCTAATGTGATTAGAATAACATCCATTGGCATTAAAATTTAAAAATTAGGCTGAACATTTTTTCCTTCAATGGTCACTGTTTTAATAATCATAGCATGATTTTCTGAGTCCATCCAGTTTTCAATTGTTGTTCAGTAAATATTTTCAACTGGGGAATATTTAAAGACTCAGGCCAACTTAAGTTACATTTTCTCTGCTCCCAGAGTCACCCATGCTTATATACTTTTACCACTGCATCTTCCTGTGTAAAAGTTCACAAGAACTTGCTGAGCAACCACACCAATCTTTGTATTCAATAATGCCACTATGGCATCCCCAAAGTATAAGCATCTCTACCCGGGACACCTACACCAGCCTTCTAACAAGTTTTCCTCTTTCTCACCCTTACTTCCACCCCCAGTCAAAGTTACCTTTGTACTATGTCACCCCCATATAAATTCCATAGTAACTTCTTGGTTTATTTAAAATAAAAACTCCTTACTCTGGTCTAGAAGGCCCTGCATGATTGGCCCTCACCCACATTACTTCCTTGCTTCACTATACTTCAGCACATTGGCCTCATTTCAAACCTTTTTAGAGCACAAGCTCCTTCCCTGCTTCAGGGCTTTCATACAGGCTATTCCCTCTGTTCACAACTCTCTTTACTCCTAAGTTTTAAATAGCCGGCTCCTTTTTATCATCCAGTCTTAAAAACAACCCCCAAGCAGCTTAGCACCTGTAGTTCAGTGGCTAGGGCGCCAGCCACACACACCAGAGCTGGTGGATTTGAATCCAGCCCAGGCCTGCCAAACAACAGTGACAATTACAATCAAAAAATAGCCAGGTGCTGTGGCAGGTGCCTATAGTCCCAGCTACTTGGTGAGCTGAGGCAAGAGAATCACTTAAGCCCAAGAGTTTGAGGTTGCTGTGAGCTGTGATGCCAGAGCACTCTACTGAGAGTGACATAGTAAGATTCTGTCTCAAAAAAAAAAGAGTTAAAGCCATCATGTTAAAAGAAAAAGCTTATTTAAAATAAACTTTATAAACCCTGATGATATTTGGTTATGTTTCAGCTCCACTAGAATTACACTTTCTTAGAGATAAAGAAACACATCTGTTTTGTTCACAAATAACAGTGACTGCCTGTTCTGTCATTGTATATGAAATCTTTTATTGCAGAATTAAATTAATTTCATTCAAAGTTTATCAACCCTCCCAAAACCTACAACTGTTACATATCCTCATTTATTGAAAACTCCCAGTTTCCTATTGAAGATATTTTTTGGACTTCAAGAACGGAATATAATGTAATGGAAAGTATATTAATTTTTGTTATCATAAAGAACCCCGTTTCAAGATTAACTCTCCTACTCACCTAATGATTCTGGACAAGTTATTTAACTTGTGCAAGATCTGTTAAACTCATTTGTAAGATGTTAAGATAACATTCATCATACATAGTTGTGGAACCAGATGGAGTAGGTTAAGTTGCACCTACACAGAAAGTACTCACCAAATTAGGTCCCGCCTGCCTTCAGTTGTCAGACAGGACTATATTTGAAGCAAATAGGGCATTACTGGTCCTTTAGAAAAAAAATTGCCAAATCAAAAAATCCTTCCCCAGTAGACTTTTAAATTCTTCAGGGATGGTTCATCTCAACTACATTTTGAAAAATATATGTATAATTTTAATCCCCTGTTATATTAATAGAAAAGCCTACAATCTTAAAGTAAACATAGCCTCCATCCCACAGTGGCCAAAATGCAAACTGTTATCTATATATATTGTTCGGGGCCCACAAAAATCTAACCGAATGATCAGCACTTTCATTTTTTTATCCTTACGCTGCTGCTGCTGCTGCTTTTTTTAAAGACAGACTCTGTTCTGTTGCGAGATCAGGTAATAGCTCTCTGTAACCGCGAACTCCTGCCTGGGCTCAAGTGATCCTCCTACCTCAGCCTCCAGAGTAGTCTCTGAAAGTGCTAAGATTGCAGTCGTGAGTCACCGCGCCCAAGCCCATAAGCGTCTTAGGCTTCTAAGACGTGCACTGAAGAAACCGAAAGCGTAAAGTTTTGAAAGACACTAATGCCAAATGGAGACCAAGACTACTGTCCTAACTGTAAAACTGAGAGTTTTCTAAGAAAAAGGAACCCCAAATATTTGACCAAGATTCTGAGTTTTGGAAACTCCCACATAATGGGGCAAGAAGAAAATCCTGGGTTCAGAAAGGGCCACTGAGAGATGGTTAATCTCAAACTGCCTCCTTTTCTAGCTTCCAAAGCGAAAGTGAATCCCTGGCTAGGGGTCTCACGGTCTTGCAGCCCCAAGTTCGCCCGGGACCCTGGCGGCCTCCCAGCACAGGTGATCCCCAGGCCCCCAGGCCAGTCCGGCAAATGACTTTGCAAAGCCGATTTCCACTTCCATTCCATATTGGATCCTACAGAAGCATCAAGTCATAAGTCCGGACGGAAAAAAAACCGAAGTTGACAGAGCTCCTACAACCTCCGCCAAGCGGAGGACCTCGAGGCCCCTTCCTCACCTGAATGTTGTCAGCGAAAAGCTGTACCCGCGCTCCGCCATCTTTACCCGGAGAGCCACAGCACATCGGTACACATGCGCACTGGGGCCAGATTTTTTTTTTCCATTCCCCGTCTCTCGCTGATTGGAGAAAAGGCAGAGCCGCTCTAGGAGCATGCTGGGTGTTGTAGTTCCAGGGGTCGAGTTTGCACGATTCTGAGTCTGTGCGCATGCTCGATTTCGGGGCGGGCTGCAGAACCCGCAGGCGCTGGGCGCGGTTTCCGGCGAGGAAAATGGCGCTGGCCATGCTGGTGCTGATGGTCCCTCAAGGGCCGGTTACTCGGGCACTGCTCCGAAACTGTTGGGAGCAACTACAGCAGAAGCTTCAGCAAAGCCGGCCAGGCTTTCCCAGTCCTTCGTGGGGTAGGCAGAGAAGGTCTCCGGTGGGGAAGATATTTAATGAGGGGTCTTGGGCAGCGTGATACGCACGGATCATGTTCTCTGCTCTCAGCTCAAGTGCTGACCGCCGGCTTCTTGGAGGGGAAGTCCTTGATATTCACTTACATAGCAAGAGTAAACGGCCATTAAGGGGGGACTCTCCGGGAGGAGAAATCCTATGCTTATCGGATACGCCTTATCCTGTTCGTACACAGAATGTAACCCAAGCGCCGTAGCTTGTGTTAGAGATAAATACAGCCAGGCATTACGACTGACAAAGAGCTAAGTTCATTCTGCATTCCAGTTTGTGCAGAGTTTGTGGGTGAGGACGGCTACGGAGGCATAGAGTCAAAGAAGAGAAATAGTACAAAGGGTTGGACAGTATAGATGTAAAATGTATAGTTAGAATTCTAACCCAAAGACTCTAAGAGAGGCCCTGTTCTTCCTGATGATTAGATTTCAAAGGAATGGCTCTCTGGTCCTTGAGAGGCACTTCTGAGTTTCAAGGGAGATAAATTTAGAACTTTAAGACCTTTTTAATAAATGCTATAAGAAAGGGAGTTCAGGGGACTATCTTCCCCTGTGTGTTGCCTAGAATAAATAGGAAATATTCTGGCAGTCGTGACCTTTCTCAGGCAGAGCTCAAGGTCATCCTATGAATACGGCCTTATGCTGCTGGAACCCATGCTAGAGTTTGGTCAAGTCTCTTAGTGCACGGGTTTGGACAGAGTTGTCCTGTGAGGACAGTGCCACAGTTTTCACTTGGCATCAAGGCCTGCCACTCTGTATCTATGTATTCTTTCCAGTCCTCCACCCCATCATGCACACAGAATGCATTTTGTTCCCCTCTGCGGTGGTTGAGCTCTGTGCAGGTAAATTCTACTCCCGGTGTTTCTTTGGGGAACTAATTTTAATTGGAAGTATTTTGGATGTTAACATAGCGGCTGTTCTCTCGTTCATTTCTCCTGGTCTCAATTCCCAGTTGTCCCAAATTCAGCCTATTTTATTTACCCCGCTTCATCTCTCAGCTGCTTATAATATAGTCACTTAGTGCCTCTAATATCTTCAAACTATCACCGCTTTGACATTTGCATTCCACTCAATTTTTAAATGTCCCAAAAAGCGGTAGTACACGGGTAGACTGAAAATATATACCACTATATGCCAAGCGGTGTGCTAAGTAAGCTTTCTATGTATGTTTCTGGGATAATCTTCACAACAATCCCATTAGATTTCTGTACTTTGCAGCTGTAGTAGGGCAGCTCAGGAAAGTTTCTAAGGTTACACAGGCAGTCCAGAGCCTTTGTTGTTAACTACTGAGCTATTCCGAGCAGTACTTTTAGACATAACAGTCTAAAAGTTGTTAAGTATTAGAGAGCTTTGTATACTTTTTAGAGTTCCTGGAATCACGAATTATTGCAAATCTGAGGAATAGCAAGGAAAGAATGGGGGATCTCTTTGATTTTTATAAGCAAACAAAAGTGAAACTTTGGTAGTCACATAAATAATATGCTTTAGAGAGCAGGCAGGAATTAAGATTAAATATTAGCAAGAACTAAGTGACTAAGGGAGCTACCAGGCTATATGATAAAAGAGCTAACTTAGTATGGGGTATCATAAAAAAGGGCCAGTAGGCAGCTTTCTCAGTGCAGGTCACAGAGGTGTGCTTAGGGAATCTCGGTCTTGGATTTACTTGTAATTTGATTAGGTACGTACTGCCTACCAAGCAGAATGTAGACAATTGAGTGATTTTTGTTGTTTGTTTTGTTTAAGTTGTGCCTATCAAACTTTTATTCGTACCACTAAACCCTAGAGTTCTGTATTTTATGAGGTGAGAAACTTGATAGAATTTCCCTGATCACATTTCAGCAGTTTCCACTAAGAAAAAATTCTATTTGTGTTTATAAAAATTACCCATTGTGAGCTCGGTGCCCATAGCACAGTGGTTATGGTGCCAGCCACATACATTGAAGCTGACAGGTTCAAACCTGACCCAGGCCAGTTGAATGACAATTGCAACAAAAAAATAGCTGCACGCTGTGGTGGACACCTATAGTCCCAGCTATTTGGGAGGCTGAGGCAAAAGAACCATTTAAGCCCAAGACTTTGAGGTTGTTGTGAGCTATGATGCCACAGCACTCTACCGAGGGCAACATAGACTCTGTCTCAAAAAAAAAAAAAAAATTGCCTGTTGTGGGCTGGTAGGTGGTAGTGACTTATGAGAACTTATTAACATTAGTGTCACTAAAGTTGTTATACAACAGCCTACTGCTGAATTTGACTGACTTAAAAAAGCCTTCTGTGACCAATGTAGTGGCTCACACCTATAGTCTTAGCATTCTTGGGAGGCTGAGACAGGAGGACCCCTCAAGCCCAGGAACTGGAAGCTGCAATGAGCTATGACGACTCCACTGC